GATTGTTGAAAATGTTGTCCATAACTTCGTTCGTAATCATGCATAACTCTGGAACTGGTCTTCCAAACCGGCTGATCATATCTGAATAGCGGCAAGGGTAAGAAAACCTTCTCAGTAGCATGCATAAACCTTCAATTCTATCACAGATTGTTCTTTGTGGACAATGGATGTTCATTGGTAGTTGAAGAACGTTTGCCAGCAAAGGGATGTCTTGTTTTTGGACTCTGAACTCTGCCAAACACTCGCTTTCGTCAACGTTTTCAAGATCAAATCTTGCATACGAACTGTACGGAAAATCAGGGTTCTTGGAACGGTAGCTCTCCCACAAGACCAAGAATTCTTCATCAGAAATTATTTTACTATCATACGCTAGTAACAGCATCTCTCTTGTTTCACGAAAAGACATTTTCACAGGTTTTTTTCAAGCTTTCGAGACAGGTTTCGAATGGGTTGCCGTCGCAAAAATACTTCTTTGCTTAAGTTTGGATTTTGGCGGGAACGACGGCGCCCTCTTACCCAGGCTCGCTCGTTTGTAGACGTCGCCGTCGCCCGAAAAACGTCTGGTGCTTAAGTTCCCTATTATGTTGCCGGTACCTCTTTTTACACCTGGGTGAAGAGAGACAGGTGGGGTAAAGTTCCTTGTATAAGTTACAGGCCAGGCATAAATCCCAGAACTGCAAATCAGGAGTTCGAGGTGTTAACAACTTGGCCAAACACGCCTCCAAAAGTATTCATTACTTATCATGACTTAAGTTTGTCTCACGCTTAGAAATTCCTCTTCGACAAGGAAACAATCATTCATTGCATTCTAGGAAGTGGTAGCCAGTGAACACAGACATATTTCTGGTTGTTGCTAAATTCTCTCCACAGCAGAAATACATCTGTGTTGACAGGCTAAAGAAAGTACTAAGGGATAGTTTTCCAAAAAAACTTTGGATATCAAAACTGTTCCCCGAAAATAACTTGCAGGAAAATAATATTTTGAACTCCCTTTTGATCCCTTTGCAACGAGAAATGCATCCTCGCCCATCCAAAACCACCAGCCGAGGCACAGTGGCCTTAATGGTAATGTAAACAATCATTTCCATAGAATCTAATTCTAGCATACCAGACAAAAAGGACTGCTATATATTATTCTAACAACATCATTAGCTATCCTCTCTTTTTTTCTTCTTTTCATGTCTTTCCTTCCTTGTTTGTTCATCTTTCCTTTTCCATTTCATTTGTTTTGAATGCTCACCTGTTTTAGAAAAACAACAATAATGTTAATAATATTTAATAATAATAATAACAATAATAATAATAATAATAATAATAATAATACTAAAGTATTGTATACCTGTCCAACGTATTCTTTTTCTTACACAGACATAACACACATGTAACTTACCAAAACTTACACACTATGCCTTTTTTGTATTTTGTGATTAAAACCTTAAAGTGAGTAAAAATACTTTTAAACTCAAAGAAATATAAACATGGTTGACTTATTTAGCTGCAGGTCGAGGAACAAAAATTATTTAATTTCAGGCTGACCTTGTCCTTTTTATATTCTGAGTGGCTTTCTATGCTGTTTCCAGTGTTGCAACCCAGTTACATGTACTCTACTCAACTAGTTACATGTACTCTATCATTATGCTACTCAAAACAATACTTCTTCCCTTGTGTGTTCTACAATAAAAAGTATAAGCTTAAAATTTTTAACTTACATGTATATGATGTTAGGTTCATTTACCACAGCAGGGTTGGGAGCTGACACCTTTAGGTCTGTTCCAATCACAATTCAGGAATTTTTTCAATGGGCACTGTTAGCACTGAGATGTTCTCACTTCCTCTATGAAGGATAAAGGTGATCATGACACCTGCAGTTGTGTTGTTGATGAGGCGGTGGCAGTCAGTGAGGTGGTGGATGATGAAGCAGTGGTTTGCATGTCGACCTGGCCGTCAATGAGGTAATGGATAATGAGGCAGTGGTGGATATCATGGCCATCAGTGAGGTGGTGGATGCCATGGCATTTGATGAGGGGGATGATGATGAGGGGGTGGATGATGCCATGGGGGTCGATGGGGTGGTGGATGATGGGGAGGTGGTGGACGAGGCGGTGGATGATGCCAAGGAGACGGATGAGGTGGTGGATTATGCCAAGGTGGTGGATGAGGCGGTGGACGATGCCATGGGGGTCGATGGGGCGGTGGATGATGGGGAGGTGGTGGATGAGGCGGTGGATGATGCCATGGGGGTCGATGGGGCGGTGGATGATGGGGAGGTGGTGGATGAGGTGGTGGATGATGCCATGGTCGTCTATGAGGGGGTGGACGATGCCATGGTGGATGATGAGGTGGTGGTTGATGAGAAGCTACAGTAGAATGTGGACATAGCTGTTGAACTTCATTTTCATGTTCTTCTGCTTGGAATCCAATCTACAGAAAATAAAAGGAAATGTCAGAAGAATATACCAGGACATTGTAAATTCCCACATGGAACCAACAAACCCATATCAAACTTGATTGTACTCAGGGATAATCATCATTTTTCCATACAAGTGTATACTGCAAAATACCTTCCAAAGAATATAAGCAAAGGGAATGGAATGGCAGTGTGGCCAAGAAGTCGGTATGTCAATCCGTGTCAATCCAGAGGTCCAGGGTTCTATTCCCGCTCTTGGGACTTGTTGGATTTGTTCTCAGTTGTCTCAAGTTCAAATCCACGGCCACTGGTTGCCTCCTGCCAGTTGGGGTTTTAATCCTGTTATGTTGTGTTTGAATTATTTGTTTCTATTAAGTATCTGAGTGGAGTGCCTGTAAACTAGCTGGACATGCTAAGTGCACTTTTTCTGATCACTATTTGCCCAGAAAGAGCCAAAACTGCCCAAAATATCAAACTTGAAACTTGATCTGAATGGCAACATGATTATTGCACTAATCTCTTAACAGGATTATTATTTCATTAATGGCAATTGTGGTGACGTTGATTTCCTTGGAAATACCCAAAGAGAGTCTCTTTGGTCTCTCTCTGAATTCTAACTTTGGCAGCATGTAACAATTTAGTTAACCCAAATAACGCATAATTGTTTTAACTTTACCTTTTTAAGGAGTCCTTGTAGGTATCCCACCTCCTTTTCAAGTCGAGCCTTTTCCAGTTCATATTCAACTGCTGATCCAGTTTCCATGTAAGTCTTTTTTATTAGATCTTTCACTTCATTTCCATACTCAGAGGCAGCTTCAGCAAGTGGTAAACACAAGTGACCAAAGTGTTCAAGAGCAACGCATTCCCTACAAACTGCATGACCACATTTCTCATCAAAAAAACGGAATTTATCATTGTGTTTTTGGCATATGAGGGATGCAGAAGTGAGCTGAGGGTTTGCTTCCAGT